GTATTGTCTCTTTATCCTTAACCTTTGCCATTTTAATTACAATATATCTTGGTGTGAGCCACTTTGGGTTTATCTTGTCTGGAACTCTCTGAAGTTATTGGACATCTGTTTCCTTCCCCAGATTAGTAAAGTTTTCAGTCATTATTTCTTCAAATATACTTTCCACTTTTTTCTCTCTCTTCACCTTCTGTAATCCCTGTAATGCAAATGTTAGAGCATTTGATATTGTCCTAGATGTCACTTACACTATCTTCATTTTTAAAATTGTTTTTTAATTTTTCTGTTCTTATTGGGTGATATTTACTACTCTGTCAACAGGTCACTATTCCATTCTTTCTTTCAGCACTTTAAAGTTGTCCTGCCACTCCCTTATGGCCTTTAAAGTTACTGTTGTTTAATCTGCTGTTGAGTCCTTCTAACATATTTTTTCATTTCAGTTATTGTATTCTTCATCTCTGCTTGTTTCTTTATTTTATTAGCTCTTTTTTTAAGTTCTCTCTATGAGTTCCTCTATTTTACTCTGAAATTTCTTAAGCATTCTTATGACCATTTCTTTGAATTTTTTTAATGAGGCAAATTACTTATTCCCCTTTTATTAGATTTTTTTTCTCTGTGGTTTTGTGTTCCTTCATTTGGGGCATATTCTTCTGTCTCCCTACTTTATTTGACTTTCTGTGTTTGTTTCTATGAGTTAAATGAAATAATTGTCTCTCCAAATCTTGGAAAAGTGGCCTCTGTAAGACTATGTTAGATAGTTTTGTAGGCTGATCTGTCCAGAAGTAGTGGGTTCTTGGAGGGACAGCCTGGTGTATGCACATATGCAGTGGCTCCCTGTTGTTCTGGCTGTCCTTGGCCAGAATGGAGTTGGGGTGTGGAGACCTGGTGTGCGTACACTTCCTTGACCTTCTGATCTGGGTGGGGCTGCCAGGTGTATACTCACAGAAGAACCCCCCCTAGTTTACTTCTTTGGATGGTGCATCCCCATGTGCGCATGCAGCAGTGGCCCACTATCTCTGACTGGACTGCCTTGCATGCAGGCACCTCAGTGCTTTGCTAGTTCTACACTCTCTCTGTGCAGCAGCACCATACTATACCTGCTGGGTCAATCTCCAGGTATAGGGGCCCCATTTGTGCATGCTATGGCGGTGCTCCCCTCTTTATGCTTAAAGTAGCTCCAGGAGTGGTGGAGGGGACACGCAACAGCAGCCTGGCAGTTTAGCCAAAGAACCTAGAGAGCTCCTGCCCTCTATCCACATGTAGGAGAGACATGAACAATGGTGCTCACCAGTTCCTCCTGTCCTGGAGAGACCCTCAGCTGCTGGAGAGCTCTCACAGAACCACAACTTTCTCTCTCTCTTCTCTCTCTCTCTCTCTCTCTCTCTCTCTATTGTTTATTATGCAGAAGCTGTTCAGTTGGCCTTCACTTATCTCTCAGGAGGAATTACTCTAAATATAGGTGTATATTTGAGGTGTTCTTGGAAGGGGACAAACTCAGCATCCTCCTATATCACCATCTTGGACCTTCCTCGAGGACATATTTTTAAGGGAAGACTTTTTAAAAAATACAGGCATGGTTAGTAAATGATTTAGGCTTGTTGATGACCACAGTAATAACTCTTCTAGAATAAGGCACTACACACACTCAACAGAACATAAAACAAAGCATGTGTCTTATGAGAGGAGTCACACTCATTGGAGACACAGCTTTACCAGTAATTTTTCAGCCTGAGCATATCAAGAAGAGAGACAAATCTCTTCACAACTAAAAAAACGCACTTCTATTTAAGGATGTGGGTTTCTGTTAGCCTGTCCATCTCCTATGGAGTTTATTCTGGAGTGACTACTACTAGGTAATTTAAGTTAACAGAAATGTTGCTCAGGGCAAAGAACTCAGTTCTGGATTCTCCAGGCAGCACCCTCAGCCCCACAAGTAAACATAGCTCACCTCCCAGTTTTGCAGAGCTGGCCCTGAGAGCAGGAGATCTTTCCACTTCACTCACTATACATTTTAGTTGACACAATCAAGATTCAACAGATATTTCTGAGTACTACTTAAACATGTGACTCTTTGTATTTAAGTACAATATTTGACATTTAGCCCTACTACATTTCATCTTATATTTAAACCACCATTCCAATTATAAGGGTCTTCTTGAACACTAATACTCTATCATGTATTTCCTATTCCTACATAATCAATCCATTGAATAAGAAGCCTAAAGCTTCTGTTCCTATATAGACTGAACAAGTTAACTTGAACAAAACAAGACATTTATCCAGTTAAAATGTAATCAATTAAACATCATCTTTGGGAATAGTCAATCACTCTTTATTCTGTAAGAAATCCTATTTCCAATGCTGACTAAGGAAATGTATGCTAAAATCAATGTTTCCTTAAAAATAGTAAATATTCAGGTTGTGTAATCTTTATCATAAGCTTAAAGGTATTTATTTTTCAAAGCTTTGAAAGATAATCATGGTCAAGGTCCAAAAAAGTACCAATCAAACATAATACAATGGTCATCAATGTGCCAGACCCATGTAATTTAGCAGCAGGTAAGTACATATTATTCATATATACTTGAGAGATTAGATGCATCCATGTATTACAATTGGCTAGGTTATCTCAATTTTATTGTTTAGTTTTAACGAGTGACTTTTAGAGACAAAAGATGGTGAAAGTAATAGCTGGTATAGTACACTGTGGCTCATTTTCTATCTTGTCAAAAACTTCTCAGATTTTTACCTATGCCATAAACATAGAATTCATTTCAGAGCAGAATCCAGAGAAACAAGACTGTCTATGCTACTGTTAATGCATAATAATTAGATTATTTGGGGCTTTTAAACTACCCTATCTATGATCAATTCTTAACATCTTGACTTCTTGATCTTTCTCATTTTGAAAAACATAACCTCTAAATCCAATTTACAAATCAAGCCATATCAGCAGTGAAGGAACAGTGCTTGAAGAAAAATTTGTAGGCATTACCACAGTATTTTCAAAAGAACCTTGAGTCACTTAGACACATTCATAATAAAAATTTCTAAAGGGGTTGTTTTTAAAACCTAGATATAAGAAAACATTAGCATGGGAGTGGGAGACTTTTTCCATAAAATGGCCTAGAAAGGCATTTTTTGCTTTTTGGAGCTGTAAATAAAAACTGGGTCCCAGCCTCTGGCCTAAGAAAGGATTCTGAGATAATAAATATCAGGAAGCTTGGACTAGCTTACCTAAAAAGGAGAGTTTAAGAAGGACTCTGAGAACTGGTATGCGTCGTGTTGGCCATCTCCCAAGAAACACTGTTTAGTGTCCTGAAAATTGAGTGGAAGGAATACATTGATGATGAAATTCCTTAGCACAAAGCTGGAGTCAAGAGGCTCATTTGCCTTTACTTAACAGAGATTTTGCTTTACCTGATGTGATGATCTTGCATTACAACCTTGTTTTGGAAAACAGTAAAGACAGCATTTTCTTCACAAAGACCATGTAATTTACTTAGTCCTTCATTCCACACTTCTCAATAGTTTATTCTATGGTAGAAGCTGTTACATACTGAAATGCATACTAAACATTTTGTTCATATTTGACATTTTCTAAAAGTCTTCACAGTAGAAATTCTGTATATATAGACTTGAGAATCTGGCCCTGTACTCCTTTCTGGAATGACATTGTATGTCAGTAGATAAGGTTTGGTTATAAAAACTTTTAGGCAGAAATTTTTCTCCCAAAATAGTAAATACCTCAAGTTGTATAATCTATTTCACAATATTAAAGGTATTTATCTTTCAAAGTTTGAAAGATAGTCATGGGCAGGGCCCAAAAAACTACTCAATAAACATAATACAATAGTCTTCAATGTGCCAAACACATGTAACAGGCGAAACAATAAGAGAGGCTTTGAAGACGGGTTGTGGTGGAGATTGGTAGTGGTAATGCTTTATGTTTGAAGATAGTAATAAATAATTTGATGATTTTATTTTTTGTGCACTATACCTTATGTTAAGCACAATACATTAAACTGATAACCCAGAGAATGTTTTTGGAAAGAGCATTAAGATAAGTGGTTTTTTGGTCAAGAATTGGAAACGGATAGGTCCTCAAATATTTTGAAAATCTAGAACCAGATATACTGACCTATAATTAAGAATGGCCAAATTGATTTTTCTAATATAGTGTCAGGTTACAGTTATCTCTTCCCACATTCCCAAACTTTCCTTAAACCAATTATATGGTTATGATATGGTGACACCAAAAAGTAGTAGCCATAGTTGAACATGGCCCAGTTATATTACTCTAGACTAACCATGAGTTCTATATTACTTTTAGAAATTGTCTACTAGCAAAAATTATAAAAAATAAAATGCAAGAAAATTACATGTCATATCTCAAACTTGTTTGGAAAGTATACAGACAATGTTTAGTCCTTTGAAATGACTATATCTAGCAATATTATAAAATATTCTCAATGTGGAAGGCAATATGATTAAAGAAAATGCCACTTAGATTGTTAATTATATTTTATGTTAATTGGATAGTCATAGTTTAATAGGTATGAAGCCAAACATATGAAAGACTCTGCCTTAACATTTAGCAATGGTATAATTTATTTGGGGCTGTAGTTCATTCACATTACTCAGCTGACCTCAGAATTCTACTATGTTCACATAGTATTTACATTTAAATACTAAAATCGTAAAGCAATAAAAGTCTTGACTTCTGATCTCCAAGACAAAATCTAAACCAACTAACCAGAGAATCTGAAAGATTACAAATTACTTTTTCAACAACATGCTTCCCACTAGAGCTTGTTTTTAACTGGGCCGCTCTGCATGTCGAATGGGTACCACATTTGCAACCATTTATCAAGTCTGGGCAAGCAATGCTAATACTGCTGATGGTTCTGCTGGTGGAAGAGGGCCGTGCTTTCCGTTGCATGCAGACACTGACCCTGTACTCTGTTTCCTTTCCTGTTTCCTGTGCCATGCTTGCTGTGTAGCAAATGGAATCTCTGGCAGTAAGTTAACTTTCTTTCATACTCTCTGCCCATTTGAGGCATGGACCCATAGCAAACCTTACTTTTACTGTTACTATTATAGCTCTTAGCATGTTTCCCCTTTTTCCTTCCATTTTATATTATTTGGTAGATTGAGATATGCCAGTTTGTTAGTAGCGTAATGGGCTGCTTTCGGCCCAAAAGTAGAAACCTATGTTGCTATGAACTCTCATACTATCAGTGGAATATCTTGAGTTAATAACTACCATTATCTGACACTTGGAAAGTCAGAGTTTTCATAGCTGGGTTTCACCCTAAATTGTGAAGGTAACATTGTTTAAACAATACTTTTTTATCTTTCTGTGAATCTCTGGTAGTTACTTTTTTGTACCAGATTTTAAAAGATTTCCCATAAAGAAAAGTTCAAAATACAACATTTTACTGAAACAACCAAAGATCTAGTTTGGAGTAACTAGTGAGTGTAGCTACTTCTTTAACCTTAGGGTGGTTTCCAGCAATGAGAGATCAGGTAAATCTAAAGTAGAATTTTATCCCCCTAAGGGCCAAAGAAAGGGTGAGAGGAGAAAGAAAGCTTCATTCACCATGGTTTCAAATGAGCTTTAGTAACTTTTTAAAATTAGGATCAAAAGTATGTTAATAATACTGTGAATAGAATATTCTTCTTCAAACCCAAATTTAAATTATTGTCATTTCTCTGCTTAAACTGATTCGGGGAACAATTTTAAATCACCACAGTAGCTCTCAATTCTGAGCTGAGGTCTCTCTACTCCATTAGCAAAAGAAAGGCCCTATTTATCCTCAAGGAACCACATTTGAAAACTGAACAGTGAAGTGTAGTTTAAGCCACATACTTAACCACTTTCACTAGTGACTGCTAAGCCATGAAATTCTACCTAATGAAGGCTATTCTTTTCCTCACAGAATCCCATCCACTATCTAGGAGTTAACCCATTCTTAGAATAAAATAGGCAGCATTTAGAGGCTGTTATAAGCAGATACAGCTCAAAGAGCAGTATAATCGTTGGTGTTAGAATTACTCATGATTTATTTTTCCCTCATAGGATACATAACTCACATAATGAACACATTTTAAATTCCAGCGGTATTTACAGGGCCATTTTGTATTATTACTTTTTAATGTTCTTTCCACAGAAAGTTTTGAATGTTTTTGTAATGTCTCCTTTTTGTAAGCACATTTTAGCTGTTTTTTATCTCTTTAATTAAACAACTATTTACTGAGCACTGAGTAGAAGCATCGTCAGTAAAGCTGACACAGTACCTTAGAGGGTCATATGACTGTTTTATTTACACAGACTTCAGGATGAGTGTCTGCACCCAAAATGCAGCCAGAATTGTTTCATGGAGTAATTTCCCAAGTGTCTGCGGAATTTAGAATGACTTAATATTTTACCTTTCAACTATACTTTTTAAAAAACAGAAATTCTTTGTTTTTTTAAAAAAATATTCCGCCTATAAAAATTAAGACAGCCGCAACTATAATTTGTAGACATGTAACTGGCAAACATGGTGATTCACTCAGTCCCTTTATAGCTACTACTCCTCTCTAATTACTCATCCTCCAGGAGCTATTCTATGTTATATTGTGAATGTCTCACTGATATTTACTGACTGGACTTGTTCTGTTTTATTGGGAATAATAGCAGCTAGTTATGGATCCTTGATATTTTTAAAAAGTTTGTCTCCTCCAAGATTTCACTTGTTATACAAAAACTGTCCTTAATAACTAACTAATTTCTCCCCATGCTAATTCTCTCTCTAGCAATTGGAACTGTGTCAGAGGTTATATAAGCTACACTTCCAGCTGCTGCTGCTTTTTCAGTCCTACTGTAAGCTCATCGGCCAGGTGCACGAAGTCAGTTCCATGCCAGAGGTGAGCCCTCGCACCTCCCAACCCTGAGTGCTGCCATGAAAATCTTTCCTTTCCTTTTGTTCTCCCTGCCCCACACCCTCTGTTCCCCCATCTAAACTATCTAAGTGATGTTATTCCTACATAATCATTTTGCTGTAGAATAAGTATTAAATGTGTCTTATATTTCTATTCTCATTTGGCAGTGCCAGGACTAGTGTGAGGCAAGTGACAGGCCTAGGCACAAAACTGAAGGACTCTGAGTATGAGACCTCCCTCAGTGCCATGCTAAGAGGCCTTACTTGGCCTGCCCTAGTCCTGGCTTTGGATCCTTGTGTTATGGTTTTCCTTCTTTGTATTTAGCTTTTTGTACTTGTTCTTCATTGAGATAAGAAAGAAACATCTATATGATGCTTGATTCTCTTCCACTTCCCTGCTTAGCATCAGAATGCTTTAATATTTTTAAATGTGAAAAGTAAAATAATTGAAATATACTACTTCCAAGTGAGCGAAATTTTCCTAGAAGTGAATACTACTCCCATGTAGTAAGTGAAATAATGGGGATGTACAGAGGATATTATGGAAACGTGAAGGACAAACACCTAAGTCATCAAGCTGAAATAGCATAGCTTTTTGGAGGAAATCACACCTTGGTGATTCTTCATGGATGAGTTGGAGTTAGAGAGAAAAAGTGGTGGCTAAGGAGGTATGTTCTAGTAAACATAAACATGGTGTTAAGAAAGAGAAAGGAACTACATGTGGTTTACTATTGCTAGATTATAACATGCAAACTAAAAAGGATTGATGGAGCAAGGTAGAAGAAATAGGTAAGGGGATTTCATGGAAGATCCTGTGCCTGAAAGTGTTTTGGTTAGAGCTTATGGCACAGATATGAGGTGGATTTGATGACAACTAGACTGGAGATAGGGAGACCACTTATGAAGCTGATAAAATAGCTCGGATGCGAGATTAGAGCTTCAACTAGGCTAGAAGTGCTAGGTATAGAGAGAAGGGAGAAATTGTAAGAGATATTTAGGACAGAACGTCAAGAAATTGGGGGTGGGGGTGGGGGTGAAGAAGAAGAAAGAGTGTGATGCTCAGGTTCCATCTCAGATTAACTAAGTGACTGGTGGTACCACCTGTGGGACAGGGATATAAAAGGAGGACTGAGGCAATTGTACGTCCAACGGGTCAAACCTTCTGCCTGCTAGTCAATAACCAAGTCTGCCCACTAGACCAGCCCAGGTTAACGACATCTTGCAGGCAGTTTAATATGAAAATATAGAAGAGATCGGAGGTCAGAAGAGAGATCTGAACTGAAAGTATAGATGTGGTAGTCATCAGTGAAAAGCCAAGAGTTCAGGAAACCATCCCACTAAGAGTATATTGGTGAGAGTGGAGCACCATATTTATCACTCATTTGGAAAAAAGGAAAAGGAAGGTATAGTTTTTGAATATACTTTCAAATGCTAATTTCAAGGGAGGCATGAATCAGACAGTTTTGTTTATGAAGAGCTCTTCACAAACCAGTGTTCCTCCTCTATTGAATTACAAATTATTAGATAAAAGAGAAGACAGTTTATATGTTATTTGCCATGTTGTAAAGATAGGTTTACTCTTCTTATTCTTCCAGCAAGTATTAACAGGATCCTTAGAATCCATCTTGGCTCAAAAAAGAGAAGACAAAAGAGAAGACATACAATGCAACTCACATGTCTTTTTCCATATTAAAAAGGCAATTAAAGTTCTACTTTAGAAAAGTAAATTATGTGTTACATAGAAAAGTAAATTATGTGTGTGTGTATATTAGATAACTGTTTTTAAATTTTGTAAATTTAAAGTGAATTTATCCTTAATTATTTTAAATCTAGGTAAGTTTTAAATACTGTACAAGCACATACAATAATTAAAACTTGCCTAGATTTAAAAGAATTAAAAATAAATTCACTTTAAAACTTAAAAATGTATGTACGTAAAGTACTCTAACATCTTATTTAAAATCATTACCTGAGAACATTTTAAACCTAACTCTGGAGTAGGTATTTGTTTTTAACAGGCATCTGTGTGGAAACAAATAGTCCTTGAGAACTTTGGTTCTATTGCTTGTAAAATGAGGGAGCTGGGAATGAAGATGTTGGGTAAATCAACTCTACAAAGAAAACAAGAATCATCAACTTGCATTACAAAGGAAAAAAAACCTTTAAATTCATGTCAATTTTTTAAAATGCTCTTGAGATCAGATTCCAAAACAGCTGTCTTCCACAATACATTTTAGGAGTACTAAGAAGTTTTGTAGGTTCTCTCAAATGCTTTACTTTTTAACACTCTGGATCTTTTGGTTTCAGTAATTTTGAGGGAAAATCTTTTACCTCTGTAACATTAGAACTATTGCATTGAGATTTTTCCTTCTCTTACTTAAAAGTATGCCTTTAATCTCTTTCCATAGCATAGCAATAGTAAGAAAACTTCATTTTTTATAGTCCATGTTGATAATATTTATTGAGCATTTTTATGCAAAACTTACTATCTTATATACATTATCTCATTTCATCTTTAAAATTAACCTGTGATATCTTCAGTCCCACAGATGAGAAAAATAAGATGCATAAAAGTCTATTTACTTGACTGTGGTCCCACCATACATTGTAGAATTGGCATTTGAACCCAGCTTTACCCAATTCCCAAGCCTGTTCTGGTGTGCATTTTACTTCTGAATATGCCCTTCTACTTAATTAGACAACACTTTAAAGGAAGTCTTAATCTTTTCTATAAGAAGAACTTCCCAGATGTGGACACATAAAGTTATTTCATCCATACAACCACCTATACATACCTTGTAGTAAAGTTTCATTTGTCCTATTTTAGTTTTCCACGATACTAAGCTTGTGCTTAACTACACCACATATAATCAATTGTTTTCTTTGGGGGATATAAAATCCATCCTTGAACTAACTACAGTAAAAATAATGTTTTAACAGCTGCTAAATATGTCCAGGGAACTGAGTGACTTAAAGAAAAATCTGAAGGAGGCCACTGCAGCCATTGCAGCTGACCCTCTTTATATAGAGGGTGTGTGGTCTGAACCAACCTTCACGTCTACCGAAGCAGCCATCCAGTCCATGCTGGACTGCCTGAAGAACAATGAACTTGGCAAGGCTTTACATCAAATCAGGGAATGCAGGTAATTCTATTTCCTTTAGAGATGGTTAAATGAAATGCATGCCTAATAATTACTTTGTCATGGTTGGTAACTAGATCATTACAGAAGGAATATCTGGATATTTTATATACCTTCTTCAGACCTCTGCTGTTACCATGGCAGAAACATCAGATTTCAGAACTTATATGTTAAAAGTATTGATGTTGCTTCTGGTCATTTGTCATCCCTAAAATGTTGATACACTTCAAAGTAGACCCCAAGAGGTTCAAGATGGCAGTGGCATAGGATGATGCTGAAATCACCCACTCCCACAAGCACACTAAAATATACACCTATAGAAAGAGCAATTATTCCTGATTGACAGCTGAAGACTGATTGAACAGCTTTTGAACACAAATGAGAGAAAGACAAAATAGAGAAGACTAGGGGAGCTCTTTGGTATCTGTAGGAAATCTCCAAGATCAGAGGTGCTGATAAGCAACATTGTCTATCCTCCTCCACCTCCATAGGGCAGATGGAAGCTCTGTCAGGGTGCTTTGATCTGCTGGGAGATTACAGCAATGTGTGCCCATCCCACTGCCCAGAATTCTATTTCAGCTCTGAACAACGGGAGCAAGCAGGAGCCACAGGGCTTCACGACACATTCCTGGCCTCCCTGCCTGGATCCAATCTAGCCTAACAGGCTAAAACCCCAATAAATATCTGCCCAGTTCCAATCAGCCTGCCAAAACTACCAGGCACACAGCCAACACAGAGGTTTCTTCTGCACAAGGCCACTTTCTGTACAAGAAATGAGAGAGAGGTCATATAGAGCAGGCTAGGGAACCACAGGAGCTCTCCAGGAACTGTAGGAATTTCTTCAGGGTTGGAGGTACCTGTGAGCACTACTATACACGCCTGGAGATGCTTCAGCTTGGTAGCCCAATGCACCAGCTCAACTCCAACTGGCCTTCCAAATTAACCCAGCACACAAACAGCCTACACATAGGTAACTTCTACATAAAGCCACTTTTTCAAGAATGGGAGAGATAGATATTTTATCAAATTTATACAAATAACATAGAAAGTCAAACAAAATAAAAAAATAAACACAGAAGAATACCTCTCAAATGAAGGAACAAGAAAAAACCCTAAGGAGTTGGAGATAAGTCATTCACTTCATAAAGAATTCAAAGCTATAGTTCTAAGGATGCTCACCAAACTTCAGAGTGGAATACAGGAACTTAAAACTACAACACAGAGAAAGTATAATAAAGGCCCAAAGAGAGCTGAAAATACAATAACTGAAATGATAAATACACTAGAAGGAATCAACAGCAGATTAACATACAGAAGAATGTATCAGTGACCCAGAACACAGACTAGTGGAAATTAATCAATCAGAACAGCAAAAAATAAAACAGAATTTTTTTAAATGTGGATAATTTAAAGAGCCTGTGAGACAGAATTAATACCTACCCTTATTAAACTATTTCAAAAAAATGAAGAAGGAGCACTTCCAAGCTCATTCTACAAAACTAGCATTACCCTGATACTAAAACCAGATAAATATCTTACCAAAAAAAAGAAAATTACAGGCCATCTCCTTGATGAACATACATTCAAAATTTCTCAACAGAATTAGCAAACTGGATTCAGCAATATAGTAAAAAGGTTATATACCATGACCAACTGAGATTTACCCCAGGGATGCAAGGATGGTTCATAAATCAATCAATGTGATACATCACATTAAAAATAAAGGATAAAAATCATATGATCATCTCAGAAAAGTCACTTGACAAAAGTCAACAACCTTTTATAATAGGAACTTTCAACATTGTGTGTATAGAGAGAACATACCTCAAGATAATAAAGGCTTTATATGACACACACACAGCTAATATCATACTCAATGGTGAAAAGCTGAAAGCCTTTCTTCTAAGATCAGGAACAAGACAAGGACACCCACTATTACCACTTCTATTCAACACAATATTAGAAGTCCTAGTCACAACAGTCTGACAAGAAAAAGAAATTAAAAGGATAAAAATTGGAAAGGAAGAAGTACAACTCACAATTTGTAGATTACATGCTACTAAAGACTCCACCCAAAAATGATCAGAACTAATAAATAAATTCAGTAATTTGCAGGATACAAAATCAACTTAGAGAAATCTGTTGCATTTCCACACACCAATAATGAATAATCAGAAGGGGAAATTAAGAAAACAATCTCATTTACAATTGCATCAAAAATTATAACATTTTTAGAAATAAATTTAATCAAAGAGGTGAAAGACCTGAATCCTGAAAAATTATAAAATATTAAAGAAATCAAAGAGGGTACCAATAAATGAAGGAATGGATTGGAATGATTAATATTATTAAAATATCCTTACTACCAAAAGCAATATCCAGATTCAATGCAAAAATAGCAATAGCATTTTTCTCAGAACTAGAACAACTAATCCTAAAATTTATATAGAACTATAAAAAACACAAATATCCAAAGAAACCTTGAGAAAGAAAAAAAATATGAGGTACTTTCAAACTATACTACAAAACTACAATAATCAAAATAGTATGGTACTGGAATAAAAACAAATATAGAAATCAATGTAATAGAAAACCCAGAAATAAACCCATGCCTATATGGTCAATTAATCTATTACAAAGGAGGCAATAATATACAATGGGATAAGAACAGTATCTTCAATAAGTGATGCTGCGAAAATTGGACAGATACATGCAAAAAAAAAAAATTAGACCACCTTCTTACACCATATGCAAAAATAAATTCAAATGAATTAAAGACTTAAATATAAGACCTGAAACCACAAAACTCCTAGAAGAAAACATAGGCAGTAGACTCTCTGACATCAGTCTTAGTAATATCTTTCTAGATATGTTTCCTTGGTATAGAGCAGCGGTTCTCAACCTGTGGGTCGCGACCGCTTTGGGGGTCGAAAGACCCTTTCACAGGGGTCGCCTAAGACCGTCAGAAAACACATATATAATTACATATTGTTTTTGTGATTAATCACTATGCTTTAATTATGTTCAATTTGTAACAATGAAAATACATCCTGCACATCAGATATTTACATTACTATTCATAACAGTAGCAAAATTACAGTTATGAAGTAGCAACAAAAATAATTTTATGGTTGGGGGTCACCACAACATGAGCAACTGTATTAAAGGGTCGCGGCATTAGGAAGGTTGAGAACCACTGGTATAGAGCAACCAAAGGAGGGGAGGGGGAATGGGACTACATCAAACTAAAAATTGTGCAAGCAAAGAAAATCATCAACAAAGCACAACCTACTTAATGGAGATATTCACAAATGATACATCCAATAAGGGGTTAATATCCAAAATATATAAAGAACACGTAAACTTGAGACCAAAAAAACAAACAATCCAATCTAAAAATGGGCAGAGGACCTGAATAGATATTTTTCCAAAGAGTACATACAGATGGCCAAGAGACATATGAAAAGATGTTCAACATCACTAAGCACCAGAGAAATGCAAAATAAAACCACAATGCCATACTACCTCACATCTGTCAGAATGGCTGTCATCAAAGTCAACAAACAAGTGCTGGCAAGGATATACACTATTGGTGGGACTGCAATTGGTGAAACCACTATTGAAAACAATTTGGATGTTCCTCAAATAATTAAAATAGAACTATCATATGACCCAGTAATTCCAATTCTAGTTATCTAACTTAAGAAATCCAAAACACTAATTCAAAAAGATATATGCACTCCTATGTTCTTTGCAGCATTATTTATGACTAGAGGCTTAGTGCATGAAATTTGTGCATGATTAGGGTCCCTAGGCCCAGCCAGCAATCAGAGCCAATCAGATTCCCCGCCTCTCCTTCTCCCCTCCCCCTTCCCTCACCACCCACACCTGCCACCGCGCCATTCCCCCTGCCTCCCTGCCTCCCTGCCTCCCTGCCTCCTCCTTCCCAGCGTCCCACAGAGCCCCACCACTGCTGCTGGTCACCTGCCGTGTTCCTCACCACCCCCTGGTGGTCAGCACACATCATAGCGAGTGATCGAACTCCCAGTCTCCTGGTCAAACTCCCTAGGGTACACTTTTCATATTAACCTTTTATATATATAGATAGCCAAGATATGGAAGCAATCCAAGCGCCCATCAATAGATGAGTGGATAAAAAATTGATGGTACATAGATACAATGGAATATTACTTGACCATAACAAATAATGAAATCTTGCCATTTTTGACAACATGGATGGATCTAAAGGGTATTATGCTAAGTGAAAGAAGTCAGAGAGTAAGACAAATACCATATGTGGAATATAAAAAAAAATGAATAAACAAAACAGACCCATAGATATAAATAACAAACTGATGGTTGCCAAGGAGGAGGGGTATGGGAAATGGTTGAAATAAAGTATATTAAAAAAAATTAAGTATATACCCCAACATAATTTTGAAATCTAATATTTGAGTGTATCCTTTTGGGTGTTTTACCCCTATATTTTGATAGTATATTCACATATTCATTGGAATCATGACATACCAAATAAATGTTTTTAAATTATCAGATTCCAAGCTTATACTTTAGATATTTTTATCAAAGCCAATGATATTTGCCGAAAACGGTTTGGCTCAGTGGATAGAGCATCGGCCTGCGGACTGAAAGGTTCCAGGTTCGATTCTGGTCAAGGGCATGTACCTGGGTTGCGGGCACATCCCCAGTAGGAGATGTGCAGGAGGCAGCTGATCGATGTTTCTAACTCTCTATCTCTCTCCCTTCCTCTCTGTAAAAAATCAATAAAATATATTTTTTTAAAAAGCCAATAATATTTAATATTATAAATTTATGGTGATGGTTTCAGAACTTTAGATTTGTGAATTGTATAATGTGTGAATTTTATCTCAATAAAGCTTTTTTTATAAATAAAATATTCTTATACTAACAGACTCATAATTTCTCCTCTTTATGACTAATAGTGCCTATAATCTGTGCTCTTCTTTTTTTGAATGCAGAAGTCTGTGGCCCAATGACATCTTTGGAAGCAGTTCTGATGATGAGGTCCAGACACTACTGAATATATATTTCCGTCATCAAACTCTAGGACAAACAGGTACTTATGCTTTGGTGGGGTCTAACCAGAGCCTGACCGAAATCTGCACCAAGCTGATGGAGCTGAACATGGAGATTCGAGATATGATTCGCAGGGCCCAGAGTTATCGAGTCCTCACTGCTTTTCTTCCAGACTCCAGTGTTTCCGGCACTAGTCTCTGACAGGAGCCCCCTGTCACCCATGGGTCCCAAGATGGGTGTGCTGCCATGCTTGGGTAACATCACTCAGTATCTTTTCAGCCTTCAGAAGACTTGGTCAGACTGTTCTCCCTCTTGTTACCTGTTGGACTTTTTCTAAAGGGGATGACAGAACTTCCAACATGTAGCAATACTAAGAACCAAGGTAACATAAAACATTTGAGGACAGACTCCATCTGCCAAGCTATGTAGCACAAATGTGTTATTTTACTGAGCAAATGCAACTCACTACTGAAGAAGTGACTTCTATTGCATACCAAAGTCGACTACCTTGAAGAATACCCTTCCTTTCTAGAAACTACTTTAGATTGGCAAAAGTGCAATGTTCCTTCACACACAAAAAAATATTATAAAACTTGTACATATTCTTTCCCTTTATTTTTCCTTTCTTTTCTTTCCTTTTTTTTGTGAACTGAGGATGGGACAGGCAGAATGAAGCTGGCCATTGAAAACTAAAAGATGGTCAAAAGCTGACAGCCTGTATATGTGAAAAGGGAATTGTAAATGGACAATTTAATGTACACTGTAATTTGAATACAATTACTATACCTAAAAGAGCTGCTATGAAGTACCTTTCTTATGTTGCTAGGCTACTGTTTCTTAAAACCATGGATCTCTTTGCAGGGGTCTGTGATTAGGACCTTATTACCAAAAATTGTCCAGATAAACCTTTTTTTATGGATCTTGGCTGCTTTTTACTAAAAGGTTGCTTTTATGAGCATATTTATACTACAGATGGATGAGTGTTAATTTTAACCAACTTTGCCATTTTGTAGAAGAGAGTTAAAAACATTCACATGATAAATCCCAAGTCTTTTTCACCTGTCATGCATGCATATTTTAATATCTATTTGGATAGCCAGAAGTAGAATTATAAAGGTAAAATATGAGTTATCACTTTGTTCCTTAAGAAATGTCATACTTTATTTGTAATATTTATCTAAAGGGCCATTCTTAAGTTTTCTTCCTTAAACTTAATGCTGTCAAGTGTTAGATATGTGCATGTAAACCTGTTGCACATCAGAAACATATTCAAAGTTTATCTATGTAACTTATTTGCTCTATAAATACATTTAAAGTTTTTGTGATGTAATTTTGGTTGGTATTCTGTTCAGAACTACTTTTAGACTAAAAAAATAGAAAATACAAAACATATATTGACCATGAACTTTATTTCTGATTAATGAAGATTTTTTCCTTTAACACACTTTACAGTTTTAGATGTGGGTTGCCACAGTGGTAGCCCCAAGGGGCACCATTTATGTGTTTCATAAATGGCAGCCATTGGGGTTGTTCAGCAAACACAGTGGCCTTGGGAAGCAGGGGGTATTTATGACCTCTTTGGAAATGGACACAAAACAGAGCCTGACTTTCAGCCAGCTCTCTCTGTAATCAATAAAAGAGAGAAATCAGAAGAGAGTTCCAATTATCTACAGACTATCATGCATTAGGTTGTCACCTTTAAAATTTTTAAACAGACTCTATAATGAACAGGAAAAATAGTAGGAATTTTAATTCTGTCACCAATACCCATCTATTTTCCACCACACTGTAATACAGGGACAGAGAAATAAATAATGATCTAATTTCTACTGTCTTCCGATTCATATTTATTAAACTAACAAACATCCCCTGCTTCCCTTACAACTGAGGCATAAATAGTAATTTTCTAGAAATATCCTGCTGTAGGGAGTCTAACCCAGGATTTTGTTGTTGTTGTTGTTGTTGTTACCAAAGGTACAACTATTAGCATATTCTGCCGATTTATTTTTTTAATATACCTGAAAGATGATTTACCACAGTTTGTAGAAAACAACTGAATCATATTCTTTCTGAAAAATATTTCATAAAAGAAGAGATTTCTGTGGATATCCACACTATCCAACTCTCAGAGTTCTGTTGGGACCCACAATAGAAAGGATTGACTAGTCATGATTGAATTTCCCACCATGCCCTTTTACCCAGCAAAGAACCCCATGAGGGTTACTCTTTTTAAAAGACTGTTTCAATAGTACATTATAATCTAGTCATAAAAGTAGTGGGGATTTTTTTCTTTTTTCTTCATTTTATAAAAGACAATGAGGTGACATCAACATCATGGGAGTGAGGAGACTCCTTTGTTTCTCCCCTTCAATTTATAAGTCAGACATCCAAAACTGAATGAAGGATCCCCTGCTGAATTCACAAATACACTGAAAGATCCACACATAAAAACATATGAAGATGGGGAGGACAGAGCTGGTGGCCTCAGATGCACTTAGGGGCCCATTGTGGCTCCGGTGAGCTAGTAGCAGTGAAGAAATTAGGCTTCAGCCCTCATACTATGGCCTGGATTATAAGAGGGAAGAAGTAGTGGTCCTGTAAAAAATGGCATCTCTCTCCCCGTTTCCCATCATGGCAGATCCTGGTAGAGGTAGTAGAGGTGCCTCCAAAAACACAGCAGAACCAGGAAACATTAGTAAAAATGAAATAGTGCTAGGAGCTTATAAAACTACTTCTCCACCACCTGTCACATTCCTCCATCACAGTGGTGGTGCCCTGGAATCAAGGTGGGCCAGTAATGGAAGGGACACCCCAACCTCCAAGTGAGTAGGTGGCACTTTCCTTAACTAAAGTGATGCTGCACCACTATGATCCCAGAGGCATAAATACTGCAGCTAAGATAAAACAAAATCATATACTATAACACCATCTACTGGAAAACAAAAGGAAGTACCCTACCTATTAACCTGCTGAATTCTTGAGAGCAAAACAGTATCTAAACAAAACAACAACAACAAAACAAAAAAAGAAGCTCACTTTTGCAGGCAAAGAAACAATCCATCAATTAACATAAACAATCAAGTTAACCTGAAAGCAGAGGAAAAATTAAAAGTCTCCAGAAATGAACCATGAAGTCATGGATAACAATCAACAAGACAAACTATATAAGTGAACCAAACAAATTCTGGAGCTGAAGAACTCATTAATGAGATGAAGAATGCATTCGAGAGCAATGGAAATAGAGCAGACCACCTAGAAGATAGAATTAATGGGCTTGAAGATAGAAACCTAGAAATTATTCAAGTGGAAGAACAAAGAGAACTAAGAGTTTTAAAAAATCAAAGAAATCTACAGGAATGATCTGACTCTATTAAAAAGAACAACATAGCCCTAACCGGTTTGGCTCAGTGGATAAAGCGTCGGCCTGAGGACTCCAGGGTCCCAGGTTCGATTTCGGTCAAGGGCATGGACCTTGGCTGCGGGCACATTCCCAATAGGGGGCGTGCAGGAGGCAGCTGATGGATGTTTCTCACTCATCGATGTTTCTAACTATCCCTCTCCCTTCCTCTCTGTAAAAAATCAATAAAATATATATATTTTTTTAAAAAAGAACAACATGAAGATAATGGGTATGTGAGAAAGAGAAAATTGATAATTTTCCAGGCTTATAGGAAAAACTAGACTTTAGAATAAAGGAACCTAAGACAACACAGTTATATTGACATAAAAACATCTTCCCCAAAACACATTTTATTCAAATTGTAAAAAATTAATGACAAAGAATTCTAAAGGCAGCCATGGAATTAAATTGCCCTCAGATTTCTTACTAGAAACATTATAAGACAAGAAATAGTAGAAGGAAATATTCCAAATATATTCAGCAAAGTTGAACTTCAGATATGAAGAAGAAATAAAGGCTTTACCGGACAAATAAAAGCTGACAGAATTTACCACCAGAAGACCTGCATTAAAAGAAATAGTAAAAGGAGTTCTAACAGAAACAAAAATCCAAAAATATACAAATCTTTGAATAAGGTGACTAGCATACAGAAGCAGGAACTTAAAACTACTTCAAAACAGAATATTAAAATTGTAACAAGAGGGAAATAAAGCATTAAAAATAACTGTGACTACTGAAAATTGGTAATAAATGTACAAGATGAATGGAAATAATTTGTGACAACAAAAACAAAGAAAGGAAGAAAATGACTGAACTTGTACAGATGAAGATAAGATACGATGAGAAAAATGATTATTCTATATATGAAACATTATTTTACATAAACCTAATGGCTACCACAAAACAAAAATACGGAGCTGAAATAGGGAACATTTAAAAAGTAAAGAAACGGGGAAAATCATAGAAAACCACCAAACTAATGGGTATATAATTAGAAAATTTTAAAAATATAAAATGACTGCAGTAAGTCCTCATCCTATATAATAAAAGCCTAATATGCTAAATGTCCGGTCGTCTGGTGACCAGTCAACTGTTCAACCAATCAAAGCGTAATATGGTTGAGCTAAGGCTGCTCAACTGCTTGCTATGATGTGCACTGACCACCAGGGGGTAGATGCTCCAACCGGTAGATTAGCTTGCTGCTGGGGTCTGGCCAATCGGGACTGAGCGAGATGGGCCAGACATGCCCTGGAGCCCTCCCACAGTCCCTCCCCAGCCCGATTGTGCATAGGTGGGATCCCTCCACCTAGCCTGCACCCTCTCACAATCTGGGACCCCTCACGGGATGTCAGAGAGTCCGTTTCAGCCCAATCCTGCGGGCCACTTCCCTCGGGAGGGTGCCAGACACAGGGCTCATGGCTGGTGAGCGCTGCTGTGGCAGCACGAGCCTTTCCTGATTGGGACTGATTGGGCGTGACCCGAGGCAGGCACAGTGGGGCTGGGATGAGCAGGAGAGACAAGTAGGAGCTGCAGGCGGTGTTGGACTGCGGGTTTCAGCCGGATCCCTACAGGCCACCCATAGGGGCCCACCCGTGCACGAATTTGTGCACCGGGCCTCTAGTAAATCAATAATTACCTTAAATGTAAATGGAGTGAACTCACGTATCAAAAGGCTCACAGTAGCAAGATGGATTAAAAAATAAGACCTAACCATATGCTGCCTGAAGGAGAATCATCTCAGACCAGAGACAGGCTCAAAGTGAATGGGTGAAAAGATGATACTCACAGCAAATGACATCCAGAGACCACATCACACCACAAAAATCCACAGGACCCAGGGTAGCAGGGGGCCTTGGTGCACCCTGAGACTTTTGCTGAGTGACCTCAGACCCAGCACTGGCACCAAGTTTGAATCTCTATCAACCTGATGAACACCACTCACCCCTACTTGGTGATTCAACGAGAACCCATCTCACACAACTTGAGAACACCACCAGGAAGTTCTTTCAGTGACTGAGCCTAACAGGCAGCCAGCAGGCAGAGGCAAATTTCAGGGTGCCTTTTGTTGCCCTGCCACCAGGCTCGATGCTGATGGAAGCTAACCTTGGTGTGCAGGTTGGCCCCTCCCACACACATCCAGGACTAGCAGAGGCAGTCACAAACTGTGGATCACTTTGTAGCTTCTAACAGGAAGCCCAGGGCCAATCATAGGCAGCACCTGACATGATCTGCACTGGAGTCCTTCCCAAAAGGCCCCAGAACCAACACACCTAGTGGCAGGCTTCAAACCACATCAGAGCCCAACCTGATTAGCTCCACAAGGAACACACCCATAAGGAGATCTCAGCAGGCACCAGAGCCTGAAGAGGGATCTGCTTTGTAGAGTGACCCCCCTCACAGAAGCTCATGCACTGTTGTTAAAGTCAATCCTCACAGTGAGCCAACCTGAGGGCCAACCTGACCCACAAATGGGCCAACAGAAATCATGACTAAACCACAACAAGAGGGCTCACATAAACCACACAAGGGACATGTCTGGAACACCTATCTCAGGTAATCAGAGAAAATGCACCACTGAGCCCTACAGGTCACCTACTACATAAAGGCACCCTATCAAGAATGGGAGACATAGCAGATCTACCTACTGGTAATTAATACACAGAAACAAATACAGAGAGGAGCCACAAGGAGGGAGACAAAAAAAATTGCTCCAAATGAAAGAACAGGAGCAATCCTCAGAAAAATAAATGAAATGGAGGCAAGCTATCCACCAGATATACAGTTTTAAAAAGTGGTTATAAAAATGCTCAAGGAACTTACTTAGAACTTCAACAAAGAAGAAGCAAGCATAACAAAAGGCATAGAAACAATTTTAAAAAAAGAAGAAGAATTCAGTATTTCAGATGAGTCATACACTAGAAGGAATCAACAGCAGATTGGATGAAGCAGAAAATCAAATCACCAATTTAGAAGACAAGGTAGCAGAAAACAAGCAATCAGACCAGCAAAAAGAATTTTAAAATGAGGATAGTTTAAGGAACCTCTGAGACAACATCATGCATAACAACACCTACATCAGAGGGGGTCCCAGAAAGAGAAGACAGCAAGGGATTGAGAAACTATTTGAAGAAAGAA